CATTCCCGTGAGTAGCAGGGCGGTCGTTCACATATGTCACCTTCAGTTAACTTATCCCCCAGTTGCTTGTGCCACGCGTGACTTTGCATCAGCCTTGGGTGTACTTGAGAGTAAGCGGCGATTTCTCTTCCACTGTCTATTTGGACATGCAAGACGCCACGTCGCAAGCACGCATTTTGCACTGATGTCATATTTCTCATGGAGAGTCACTCGTTTGATGTTAATGGTATTTGCTACCGCCTGTTCAACAGAGTTTATACTTGCTTGCTTCCGGGAAACGTGTTTAATAGCTCTGTCTATCTTCACTTTACGTTGAATTTTCTACATACCAATACCTAGGAAGTTTACTTTACTCCAGTCTACAGACTTGTTTCCGATAAGAAAATCTGTGGATGAGTAAACGCTGAAAGTGGCTACCCACTGGGTTTTGATTTAAAATAACACTTTTAGTAATTTTTGCAACAAATGCACAAGTGGTTTTAAATTTCGAAACTTTCAGCATCGTTTATTATACAAAATGTGGGGGTGAAGTCAATTAAGTTGTTGACGCAAGAACATTCCAATGTATCACCGGCATCTAAGCATTTGATCGAACAGGTAGGTTCTCAAGTTAAATATATCGAAACGTGTGGTCTTGCATCCGACCGATGACTCAAATTTCTCTCTGAATCACCAGTATTATATTAAAAGAACTGCGGTAAAATTAGAGGTAACGTACAGAGATGTGCAGTAGGCTGGGCTGGTAAATTTGCTCAAATGTGATTAAACGTACGACTCTCACTGAGTGCATTGTAGCTTAGTTGGCTAGAACGTTGGCCTACTAAAGCCTTCCCATTTCTGAAGTGGGTTCGAATCTCACCGAAGTCGCCGAGTTTTGCACAACTGAGTCAAATGAATATCTGGAGTACCCTGGATCGGTTGCTCTCAGAACACTTTAATAACGTGATCAAGATGAAGAAGTAATAATTGCAACAGATTAAGATCGTTGTTAAAATCATCTGGGGAGAGCTATAGGTGTGTTTGTGAAAACTTATTTGTAAAGGGGACTGTGAGCTTGGATACCACTGATCATGGAAGGCTATCATTTCTTCGGACAAGTAGAATGCAAGACGATGGAACAGGTCGACATTCCTAAGGAGCAATCCTATGGGACTAATTTCGAGATGCTAGACTTATTTCGTATATCTAACTGGCATTGGAGGTGTAGCTTGCTCTATACATTCTGGAGTATATACAGTTATTTACTCGCTAAAAGGAAGAACTGCAAAGCCAAATGTGAGCGCACGCGA